CGTTACAAAAAAAGTCACTAATTTTAAACTTTCGATGACAGTTTGAAAAATTCGTCATAAAAAAAGTCACTAATTGTAAGTTTTAGCGATAATTTATAAAAACCGTGAAAAAAGTCACCAATTGTCAATTTTGAGCGACATATATAAAAAATCGTTATAAAAAATTATTTTTATCAATTATTTTACTAGAACTTATTTTCAATAGGATTTGATGAGAATTAAATCTAACAATTAGAATCTATTGACAATTTATCCAACAATGCAAAAAACAAACACAGAACGAAACTTTCTTGGAAAGGGTAAGTACCATACGTTGATCCAATATATATGGGTCCCACCCTTATGAGAGGGTTGTGTTTCATTATATATTTAATGGTAAATGTCTTGTAGCTCAAATTTTGTGGCTCAAAAGTGGCTCAAATGGCCAAAACGACGTCGTTTTGGCCATTTTTATATTGTTCTGTACTCAAAATTTGAGCTACAAGACATTTACCATTAAATATATAATGAAACACAACCCTCTCATAAGGGTGGGACCCATATATATTGGATCCACATATGGTACTCACCCTTTGCAAGAAAGTTTCGTTCTGTGTTTGTTTTTTGCATTGTTGGATAAATTGTCAATAGATTCTAATTGTTAAATTTAATTCTCATCAAGTCCTATTGAAAATAAGTTCTAGTAAAATAATTGATAAAAATAATTTTTTATAATGATTTTTTACATATGTCGCTCAAAATTGACAATTGGTGACTTTTTTCATAATTTTTATAAATTATCGCTAAAACTTACAATTAGTGACTTTTTTTATGACGAATTTTTAAACTGTCATCAAAAGTTTAAAATTAGTGACTTTTTTTGTAACGATTTTTTTAAACTGTCACTAAAACTTATAATTAGTGATATTTTTTGTGACAAAATTTTTAAACTATCATAAAAAATCAACTATTAATGACATTTTTTAATAGTGTTTAATGAAAATATTATTAATTATTATAAGACCTACTAAACAATAAATCTGCCTATTAAGACCTAAACATAAGCTCTTAACATTACTGTTGATATCAAAACCAAACCATTATAAAATGTGAGTGTTCTCAAGTGATATTGTAAACTTCTTTTAGTCTTCTGTTGGACTATTTGCAATGATATTTACTATTTCGGATTAACATTTGCTTAATTCTTGGATTCAAAAATTAATTGAAGTTGGTGGCCATTGGCATTGTGTTTTCCATGGTAATAGCTACAAATCTATATTCATTCAAATAATCTGCTTATATGCATATTTTTTTATAGTACATCAATTCATAAGAATGAAGAATATTTATATAAAATTTCTATATAAAATTATATGACTAATTGTGATTTCATTATTTCAAAATAAGCTTATGTTTGTTATGAATTTTTTAGGTTAAAATAGCTATAAAAAGATAAAATAAGTTAAAAAGTTAATAAGACAAAATATCACATCTAAACCATAATTATTTTATTTTTTCTCTCATACAAGTCAAAAGTCAAAAAACCAATCTCAAATGAGACTTTTTAGCCCCAGGCAATATAACCAAAAAACCAACTCACATCCCAAATTAGACTTTTTAGCTCCAGAAAAATAATCAAAAAGTCAACTCACATCCCAAACGAAAGCTAAAAGAACATATCACTTAGGTTTATAATTTTAAAAATATTAAAAAGATATTCATGACACCACATCAATAAATTTAAATCCATAATATAAGTTTTTAATTAGAAATTTTTTTTCTTAATATGAGTTCATACTATAGCATTAACAATCTCGAACCATGTTTGTTTTAGCTCTATGCAGGTAATAAATATGGAATTACTAATCCAATCCCATAAAAATTTTTGCATCTATTTGAAAAGATTTTTGTATAATTTTATAAATTTAATATCAATAGTATAAATATAATTTATCTTAAGTTTCAAATCTAATAGTATCATATTAATAATCTCATCGCATCACTTAATTTCACACTCATATTTTTTTATCATATTAATTTGAGAATCAAAGCCATGAGGTGGTGGGCAGGGTCTACACTGTTCTTGGAAATTTTAGAAAAGAGAAAAGCACACAAAACTCAAAGTGATACCTTCTTAGAAGTTATTAGAAGAAGAATACAAAGTAATATATGGTCGTCATTATAATATGGCAAAAGAAACCCAAAAATCAACAGTGTAAGAAAGAAGAATTGAATGGAGAATTTGAACGTTAAAGATGAATTGGGAATAAAGATGGAAAGTTTTGTCTCACCAACTTCAATTTACCCTGTAATTACGTATTTACCACTTTCTTTATCACAATTTTTATCAATTACTATGATAATTGACTTATGGTTAAGGTTTTGATCAAAGAGTAAGTTCATGTACACATAAATCAAATATAAAATAAAATACGTCCCTCTCATAAGGGGTAGGACCCATATATATAGGACTCACCCTTTGTAAGAAGGTTATGTCTCATTCTGTGTTTAGTTTCTATCTTGTTGGATCAACTATCAATATATCCTAATAGTTTGACTTAATTTATTAAAAATAAATCCTAATAAAATAGTTGATAAAAATAATTTTTTGTAATAATTTTTTACATATGTTGCTCAACATTGACAATTAGTGACTTTTTTTGTCACGATTTTTATAAATTATCGATAAAACTTA